CTTTTTCTCTTTTCTTAGTATTTTTTAATTTTTTTTCGTTATCTTCTTTCTTTTTCCTCTTTCTATTTAAAGTCAATACTTTCCCCCCCATCCAGATAGAAACCCCCTTTTAAAATGAGAGAGAGAAAAAAAATACAAAATTCGTATTGTGGTTTTATTTTTGTTAAAAGCAAACTATTGATTTTTGCTCAAATGGACAGGGAAACCAAATGTTTTCTTTTTTTTCTTTTCCATATTAAATTCTAAACATTTCATTGCAATTATAAGACATAGACAAAATATTCAAAATTAAAACATTATTTTAGCAAAGACAACGACATGTCTTTTAATTGAACTTATTTAACCTGAGAGAATTAGAAGTCTTACGAGGATTCATTATTGGCGGCCATAATCTTAACAATAGCTGATATGCACATGGCACAGTATTGATAGCAGACACAGAAAGGAAACTACAGGGACTCCTACAGAAGGTAATAAAGGAAAGAGAGAAGAATGGACTAAGCATCAATTGTAAGAAGATAGAATTTATGGTCGCTTGCAAAATAAACAACCCAATTGCAGATACCAAAAATCAAATCAGTGCAAAAATAGAAATATCTAGGAAATGTTCTAAAAGCACTTTTGGATAACATAAAATGCATTAAAAAAAACTAACCAAATTATGAAAAAAAAAAAATAGGAAAATTTCATTAGAAACAAAGAAAAATAGAACTGAACAAATCTAATAAAAGTCTTTCTATATGCCAGTGGATGCTGGAGAATTTATCTCCTAAAAGATGAAGAAGAGACTTGATACAACTGAAATGTGAATCTACAGAATAATGCTGAGAATACCATGGATGGAGCATGTAAGCAACAATGAATTTTTAAGGAAAATGGAAAAAAAAACAAAAACAAAAAAAAAAAAACACTTATACTTTGAATCAGAAAAGACAAGCGTCTGAGATATGGTTGTACAGAAGGATGATGAGAATAAAATGGATGGAGCATGTGCGCCATGAGGAAGTTTTAAGGAAACTGGAAACAAAAAGGACACTTATACTTAGCATCAGAAAGAGACACGCATCCGAGATGTTGCTCTACAGAAGGATGCTGAGAATACCATGGCCGGAGAGTTTTAAGGACAATAGAAAGAAAAAAGAGACTTCGAATCAGAAAGAGGAAAGGATTAGAGATGTGGTTCTACAGAAGGATGCTGAGAATACCATGGCTACGCATGTGAGCAACCATGAAGTTTTAAGAAAAATGGAAACAAAAAGGACACCTATACTTCGAATCAGAAAGAGACAAGTCTCAAAGATATGGTTCTACAGAAGGATGCTGAGAATACCATGGATGGAGCTTATGAGTAACAATGAAGTTTTAAGTAATCTAGAAATAAGATGGACACTTATACTTCGAATAATTTTAACGTTCATGGGCCATATTGAACACACGAGGTATAGAGGAGAGCAGCGTATAACCTACTTGACAAGTTTGTGTAAATGGTTGTAGAACTAGAGATAGTAAAAAAAACTACTAAGATCTACAAATGACAGGATGTTGGGGAGAACCATGATTGCCAACACACTGATTGTTGCTCGCATTCTCAGTCCATGGTATTCCCAGCATCCTTCTGTAGAACCACATCTCTGATCCTTGCCTCTTTCTGATTCAAAGTATGTTTGTTTTCTTTCCTTTGTCCTTAAAACTTTTTATGGTTGCTCATATGCTCCATCCATGGTATTCTCAGCATCGTTCTGTAGAGCCATTTGGCACATAAAAGAAAAAGAAGAAGAAGAAGAAGGTATGTTGTGAGATATTATTTCGCAACTCAAAGATTGTTCATTATATTGTAAATAAATACATGTAATACTATATTAAAATATTTGTTAATTTCATATATATAAACATGCCCATGGGTTGTTCAAAACATACACAGTCACAGAGAAACAAGATGTTTTATTAGTGACAGGAGCACAACATTACATATTGTAAAGAAATTTAAATATAGGTCATCATCTTCACCACCATGTTCTAGAAAGGGCATGGCACGTGGAACTAGAACAATCTACCTCCTTGAACTAAATAAAGGGTTCAGCTCAAAATCCGTATATCATCTTAAGAAGGCTGGAGCGTACAATGGTCGAAACAGTGTGTATATGACAATAAAGATAAGAACAACACTCTGAACAATGCAAATAGTGTAAGAAATAGGTGATGCAACCAGAAATAATAATATTTTCTTTTTTTTCCCCATATTACTATAGATCAGGAAATAGAAATAGAAACAAATTATTATTAAATTTTATAAAAGTTTATAGGGGTCCTGTTTGCTATGCAAATTTATTGTAAATTGATCACCTTTGAAAAAAAATTAATTAGTTATTTAGATTTTTTTTTTGACATTTTAAGAAATCACATCATATGATCATATTTGTTTTGGCTTCTATAGATGGGGTCAATTTACTAGAACGCCTATAACTTTTTATAAAACTTAATAAAGAAATTCTTTTTTTTTTTTAGATATTCGTGGTTTGGTGTGATTAATTTATTGTAACATGAAAAATATAGTTTCTATATATAGACCTCCGAGAAATACCTCCTAGAAATACCTCTCAGAAATACCCCCAGAAATACCTCCCATATGCATTAGCTAAATAAAGAGACTAGTGCCTCTAATGAATTAACACTTTGTGGGAAGGTATATATGGGAGGTTTTTTCTCGGAAAATATATGGGGAAGGTCTTTGGGAAGCTATATGGAGGTGTTTCTTGGAATATATGTAGGTATATCGAAAAGGTATAGGTGAAAGGTATTTTACTCAAGCTGTATATGTGTGTGATTGGCATCTGGGAGGAACAATGGGGAGGTGGCCTCCAAGAGCTAAATGTGGGAGGTTTTTCCCGGAGGTATATGTAAATTGAGGTATATCGTTTAGGTATTTGAAAAAGTATTTCTGGGAGGTAAACAATGCATGATATTTCTGGGAGGTATATGTGGGAGGTATTTCTGGGAGCTATATGTGTGAGGTGTTTCTTGGAGGTATATGTAGGAGGTATATCGTGGAGGTATAGGTGAAAGGTATTTCTGGGAGGTATATGCGTGTGATATTTCTGGGAGGTATATGTGGGAGGTATTTCTGGGAGCTATATGTGTGAGGTGTTTCTTGGAGGTATATGTAGGAGGTATATCGTGGGGTGAAAGGTAAAGGATTTCTGGGTCAAGATATATGTGGGAAGTATTTCTTTATACAATGATATTTCTATATTTTTTATATGTGGGAGGTATTTCTGGGAGCTATATGTGTGAGGTGTTTCTTGGAGGTATATGTAGGAGGTATATCGGATGTAAATGTCATTGTTTCTTGGAGGTGAATATCATGGAAAATAATCTTGAAAACTTTCTGGAGGTATATGCGTGTGATATTTCTGGGAGGTATATGTGGGAGGTATTTCTGAGAGCTATGTGTGGGAGGTGTTTCTTGGAGGCATATGTAGGCGGCATTTCTCGGTGGTATATGTGGCAGTTATTTCCCGGAGTTATTTCTTGGAGCTATAAATGGGTGGTATTTCTCAGAGGTATATGTGAGAGGTATTTCTTGGAGGTATATGTGGCAGGTATTTGTCAGAGGTATTTCTTGGAGGTATATGTGAGAGGTATTTCTGCCACACACTGTATAATCTTAAAAGAAAAATTTAAAGATAGAAATATGAGTTTAGAATCTGTGTAAAAATAGAGAACAATAAAAAAAAAAATATTGACAAGTACCCGTTTCAGTAATTTGAAGGAATATTGCCAGGCCTTTCCAGTCATTAAATGAAACTTGCCGTCCATAATTGAAAAAAGACCTAATTAAGAATGGAAAACAATATTCAAGTAATATTTCGGGAGCAATTCAAACTACTCCAAGTAATGTTTAGCTTGAAATAGTAAAATATTTTAAAATATCAACGAATAAAAAAATGAAGGTAGCAAATAGAATTAATTAACATATAAAATAAAAAAAAAATTATTCATTTATATTGTGTTACTCAAATAAATTTAGCAATGGCCTTTGAATTTATGTATCAATGGTCTACACACAAACTGGGTGATATCGTCCACCAGTGGCCGATTTCAACTGTTGGGTGGTCGATGAGCAACTGAACAAAAAATGGTGGATGATTGGAAATTTGGGTAGGCGATATAGGATTTTGAGTATTAAAAAGATATTTCGTCTATAATATAAAATACAGTGTAACTTCGGTTTTCGAACGTCTCACATATCGACCACAGTGTTGTATACATTCGTGTGTTGTGCCGTGCTTTTCTTTTCCACTTTTATTGTACTATGACTTTTTTTTTACTCTATATTGATTCCTACTGGAAAAATAATTTCGATTTACGAACATTTCAGGCTACGAACGGCCTTCAGGAACAAATTAAATTCATGAATCGAGGTTCCACTGTATGCTATATTCAAAGGTGGAAGTATTACTGCTGCACACTAAACAACCTTATACATATTATAAATAAAAACAAAATTTGTCTATTGCTTGTCATACGTGCATCCTGCTTTCTCTCACTCACTCATATGTCACAAACCCACACATAGATTCGCTTGTCACGCAAACAAAGTTCTTTTAAATTTAAAAAAAAAAATTAATTAGAAACTAATTTTGATTCAACTGCAGATCAAGAGGGATTTTTTAATTACAGAATTTAATTGAAATTTGTGTCAATGTTAATTAATATTAATTTGCAGAGTTTTAAAGTCTTCTAAAAAAAAAGCAAAACAAATTATTTCAGAAAAAAGTTTGCTTTTGTTAAATACATTTTTTCCACTTAATATTTTGAAAGAAATTCTAATTAAAATGTATTTAAAATTTGATATGCATTTTTCCCTTCTTTTTAGATTTTAATTACTTTTAATAAGTAAATAAATTTTATAAACAATAAATTTGATGGACATATTTTTTAAATTGTTCTCAAATTAATTTCTCTAATTTTTTTTTTTTTTTGTCAATTAAAAGCATTAATCAGGAGTTCAATATAGAACCGAAAAAAAAAATCTTTCTTCCAAAAGAGGAATTTAGGGAAAGCATGATGAAGAGAAGAAGAAAGTAAAAGAGGGTGGGAGGAAAGAAAGAAGGGTGGGGGAAGAAAAGGAGAAAGAAATGAATAAGAAAGAAGCCATGAGCTAATGATGAAGAAACAAAGAGACAAAAGATGAAATGTAGAAAAGGACTAAGAAAAAAAGGGGAAGAAAGGAGGAGAAATACATTTAAGAAAGAAGGAAAGGTAAGAAAGATAGAAGGAACGAATGAAGGCAAGAAAGAAAGAAAGGAGATGAGAAAGAAGAAAGGAAAGAAAAAGAAAGGAAAGTAGAGAGAGAGAGGTAAGGAGGTCAGAAGGGATGAAGAACAGAAAGGATGAAGGAAGGAATGAATGAAGGAAGGAAGTGATGAAGAAGAACATGAAGGAAAGGATAAAAGAAGGAAGGATGAAGAAGGCAGTAAGGAAGGGATGAAAGAAAGAAGTGATGAAGGAAGGAAAGGATGAAAGAAAGAAAAGATGAAGGAAGGAGTGAAGGAAGGAATGAAGGAAAGAAGTGATGAAGGAAAGGATGAAAGAGGGAAAGGATGGAGTGAAGGAAGGAATAAAGGAAAGAAGGATAGAAGTGACGAAGGAAGTGATGTGGGAGAACACGATGGAAAGGATGAAAGAAAGAATGGATGAAGGAAGGAGTGAAGGAAAGACAGAAGTGATGAAAGTAAGGAAGTGATGAAAGTAAGGAAGTGATGAAGAAGAATATGAAGGAAAGGATAAAATAAAGAAAGGATGAAGAAAGGATTGAAGAAAGGGATGAAGGAAAGAAGTGACGAAGGAAGGAAAGGATGAAAGAAAGAAAAGATGAAGGAAGGAGTGAAGGAAGGAATGAAGGAAAGAAGTGATGAAGGAAAGAAGTGATGAAGGAAAGGATGAAGTTGAACAGGAAGGAAAGGATGAAAGAGGGAAAGGATGAAGAAAGGAGTGAAGGAAGGAATAAAAGAAAGAAGGATAGAAGTGATGAAGGAAGTGATGTGGGAGAACACGATGGAAAGGATGAAAGAAAGAATGGATGAAGGAAGGAGTGAAGGGAGAGATGAAGGAAAGACAGAAATGATGAAAGTAAGGAAGTGATGAAGAAGAACATGAAGGAAAGGATAAAATAAAGAAAGGATGAAAAAAGGATTGAAGAAAGGGATGAAGGAAAGAAGTGACGAAGGAAGTGATGAAGGAGAACAGGAAGGAAAGAATGAAAGAAGGAATGGATGAAGAAAAGACTGAAAGAAGGAATGAAAGAAAGATGGAAAGGATGAAGGAAGGAAAAAATGAAGGAAAGAGTAAAGGAAGGGATGAAGTAAAAGAGGAACGATATGATGAAGGAAGTAATAAAGGAGAACAGGAAGGAAAGGATGTAGGAACGAGTTAAAAAGAATAGATGAAGGAAGGAAGTGAAGAAGGAAAAACAGCAAAGACAGTATAAGAGGAGGAAGAGATGAAGAATGTGATGAAGGAAAGAAAGAACAAATAAAAGGAATGAAGGAAGAGGTGACGGAAAGATGTGATGAAGGAGAACAGGAAGGAAAGGATGAAGAAAAGAGTGAAGGGAAGGATGAAGGAAAGAAGTGATGAAAGAAGCAATGAAGGAGAACAGGAAGAAAAGGATGAAGGAAAGAGTGAAATAACAGATGAAGGAAAAAAAGGAAGGAAGTGATGAAGGAAAACACAAAGAAGGCATAAAGGAACGAAGTGATGATGGAAGAGATGGTGGAAGGAAGGCATAGAAGAAGGAAGGGGTAAAGAAAGGGATGAAGGAAAGATGGAAATAAATGATGAAGGAAAACGGGGGAAAAGTCGTAAAGGAAGTGAAGGGACGAAGGAAAAAAGAATGGAAGGAAGGAAAAAAAGAAAGAACAAATAAATCAGGAATAAATGAATAAATACTGAGGTTAAATGTTTAAAAAATTATAAAACAGTCGAAAATATCTTTTATTAGCAGCCATACCCAGCTGGTCGATCAGAAAAGGCGTTCAATTAGAATGGAGCAAAAACAGCATCATGTTTAGATGTAAGAGAGTCTATTTTCTTCAATTACTTTAAAGTACTTTCATTAAAAAACATTTTAAATTAATGCAGTTACTGATATAACAAAAGTAGTCTGTATTTATTCAATCGAAGTTAGCCGAGGCCATGAAGGGGTAAAACAGGCAACATGAAGACCCACTTCAGACCACAATTATTTTGGAGTTTTTCCTAAATTTAATTTTTCAGAGTACTACCAGGGATGTAAAAGAGGATACATTTATAAAACAATTGCTACGTTTCATGAAAATTTGTTGAAAGGTCTACAAAAATAAAAAAAAGAAACCAGTGAAATCGCCATTTTTCACTATTTACTTCTATGGGTGGACTCAGTTATCAAGTTAAATGACTGTTAAACAATCAACTTATTGTTGGCTACAATTGAGTGAAGTTTGTATTAAATTGGTTGAAAATTGAGGAAGTTTTCAGTTTAAAATTTGTGTTGAAATCAATTTGTGTTGAAATCGATTTTTCGTTTTTGGTGGTTTTTCGCTAAACGCAGTGGCGTAGGAATAAAAATGAGGTATCGTTGAGCTCGTCATGATGTAAGTAACCTACATGCCTGGTTTGAATGAGATCGGTGGAAAAATGTTGAGTTTATCAATTTATGATTGGCTTTATCGATTATTGATTTTTTAACAAGCCTCGATTTTTTACGCTAAGAACATATCTCTTACATCGTAAGTTTGGTCAAAATCGGTTGGATGGAACTCGAATGAAAAGGTATTACATAAAAAGACATGCACACACAGACATCCTTTGTTTTATATATATATAGATTTAAATTTTATTTCTCCCTAATTCAGCGGTTAGGCACTCGGCATTTTAATCATTTATTTTAGTATTCATTGAATATTTAATTTTAAATCTTTTTCACGTCCTTTTGTGAGGTAAAATCGCCAATTGTTCATGTGATTTTTTTTAGGGTTATGTTTAAGTAGTATGGTTTGTGGTACTGTCAATTTTCAGACAGAGGCTAGGGTAAGGCTTGCCGGTAATAGGTTATATTTGAAGTAAGAGTAAATTAGCATTTTATTTGCAAAGAACTCTTCAGTACATATAAGGGCTTTCAGTAGGGCTTTCAATATACCGACAAAATCACTTGCAGGGGTGTAAGAGTACCCACAGGAAAGTACCTTCCAGAGAATACGATGTAGACTGAGTTATAAACATGACCGATGTTTACCTTCTTGACTCAAGTATAAACAAAACTTTTGAATTTGGCGTAAACAAGCCCTATGTCTAGCGTTGTGTTTGACATTGGTATTAGGTTGGTTCAAAAATAAAGACGTAATAATTTCGTTTTTTAACGTATTTTTAACGTCAAAAAACGACATTATTACGTCATTATTTTTTTAACCTATTCGGTGCATTGATTCTCTTTCAATCCCAGCGTGCGGTACCTTTGGAAAAATGCCTGAAATTCCACAATCAGATTGACCCAATTATTGTATGAAAATTGGATAGACGGAACCCTTTGGGGACCGTCGATAATCGTACTATTAGCACGAAGTCAAAAATCATCGTCGCCGAGGGCTTTAATCCAAACTTCTAATCAAATTGATCATTATATAACACGCCTTTTTCCCAGAAACTGTAACTAAGGTCTGCTAAGCATAGATGCAGTATAACCCACAGGTTGGCTCTGTGGTTTGCTGAACAAACACAAATGCAATTGAGCAAGTCTGCAACAGGGATTATAACCACACTAGTAGATGGGTAATCCTCGAATTTGATGTATATTCTATATACATACAGTATTCAAAAAGCATATGTCTACTTTCTGATCTAGTATAAACTGAAATTATTTTTGCTTTTTTTAATCCAGTGTAAACTGGACATATGACTTCATTTTCTGATTTTTAAGTAAATTTTAAAAAATAACAGCGAAAACTAATCGACATAATATATAAAGTTATTTAAAATTATATATTTAATGAAAATATTTTAAATGTATATATTTATATATATATATATATATATTATATATTTATATATTAAATATATATATAATATTTTTAAATATATAAATATATGAATAGGAAATAAAATGTATATTTTTTTTAAAAATTCCATGATTGATCGTAAAAATTCCAAAAAAAATTATGTCAGGACAACTGGAATATTAAAAAAAAATTATTTAAGGTTCTTGTTTGTCCTAAATTTATTCAACTGATTGGATCCTTTTTAATTTCAAATATTCAAAAATGAATTAAAAAAAAAAGCATTTCTATATATATTTTTCATTTTTTTGAATTTATGTGTCATTTAAATTTCAATTTTTATATATATATATATATATATATATATCATTTTTATATTTATATATATCTATAAATCTATTTCTGAAAGTTTTATTTCTGATTTTTTTTTTCTTTAAACTTTATTGTTGTTCAATTTTTTAAAAATTAATAATTTTTTTTTCAATTTGTATCAAATGAATAAATTCAAAAACGATTCCAACGAATTTTAACAACCAAAGTCAATTGAAATTTAGAAAATATTTATATTATTTTGTTCATTTGTCCTGGACTAGTTATACCTGATTCTATCCTTAAATTATTTATTTTTCTACAAAAATATTTTGTATTGTATTTATATGTATGTATGTAATATATTTATATATTTTGCAAATGTATGTGTATATTTACCACTATCTATCTATCTATCTATCTATCTATCTATATATATATATATATATATATATATATATATATATGTGTGTGTGTGTGTGTGTGTGTGTGTGTGTGTCTGTGTGTGTGTGTGTGCGTGTGTGCGTTTGAAATGGATTTTTAATCTAAGCATTATTTATTGCAACAAATGTTTAGATTTTTTTAAACTTACACATATTTCAGTTGCTATCCCTGTTTTTTTTTGTTTTTTGTTTTTTTTGTGTTTTTATTTCTCTGAAACATTGAAGCTTATAACAACCAGCCAAGATTGAGGAGTCCTCGTGAAGAAAAATTATGACCCACAACAGGAATTGAACCTGTAACTCTATTTACTTCTGGAAAATCACTCCTATAGATGTGTGTTCCTTAAGTAGGTAATTTGAATCTTAATAATGTTTCTGTTTTTAATTTTTCCACACTCAGTAACTCTTTTGTGTCTTAGTGGCTTCACTATCCTGCTTGGGGTGAACTTGATTGAAAAAAAAAAAATCTTCCAAAAATACTTGTTTAAAAAAGTAGTCCCGTCTGGAATGGTGGTCACCCATGTGATAATGTCGTCAATTATAGTGATATTCATTACAGATGAATTAATTTTGTTTATTATAGGATTTTTAGATGTAGCCACAATTTTTAATTTTTGTACTTTTTTTTAAAATCAATTAAATTATTTCATTGTAAAAATGAAGTAAAATAAACAAGTTCTCGTATTCCTCGTTCAATTTTGCATTATTTAAAACGGTCTCCTGTAGTCAAGTTGGTAACAGCAGGTTTTGACTATAGGATTGGTTTCCTTAATGGAATAATGGATACAGGTTTGAAATTCCAACAAATATCACCTGAAGAAGGCCGGAGCGTACAGCGGCCGAAATGTCGTGAATATGGCAATAAAGATGGGGGCTATAATCTGAACAATAGAAATAGTGTAAATAGTTACATTTCAGAAATATAGACAATTAAAAAATGGCTGAACTCGTCTCTTCTGGATGCGAAAAGTCATACATCCAATGTAAACTCAAAATAAAACAAAAAATACAATATAATTTCAATTTCAACCCTGATATAATTTTGCTTCTTCTCTCATTCCCATCATAAGTGCAGTATAAACCACAGCTAGGCTCTGTGGGTGTTGAACAAACACAAAATGTGCCTGATCAGGCATCTGCAACAGTGATTGGCTAGCCTCCCTAGTGGTTAGGTATACTCGGATACGAGTGGTTAGCTGTTATCGATTACCCATCATTCATTAGTTTCTTAGTTTGCATTTATGTTACGCCTTTCAATATCTTGTCCCTTCCCTGTCTGCAAATTCCTGGTATGGTAGCAGTAGATAAAGAAAGAAAGAAAAAAGATAAGACAATAACGTGATAATGTGCATAACGTCTGCTTCAGTGAATTACAAAACCTAGTATTTTTTTAAAATCTTTACATTTGTACTTTGCTTCTTTAAATAATTACCTGCATTCATAATTGTTAATATTTAACGATAGAATGTGAGAATTTCCATGGGTATATAGAATTTAAAGGTTGATTGTTTTGGCGTATGTATGGTAGGTGGGTGGGTGTAAAAAAAATAATGTAGAAGCATACAAAAAAGAGGTTTTCTACTACGGACCTTTTATTCGCTCTTTTTTTTTAATATATATTATGTAGTGAAACAAAGTTCTCGATGTTCCTTACGTATATCCATTTTCTTTTTGGTCCAAGAGTTAGGATAAGTGAGTATATGCATCACTATTATGGTCGAGCTCAAGTCAGCTTTGGGCAGAGTTGGAACAATCAAAGAATATTTATACTACCTTCATTGTCACAGCTTTAACCATGGTTATAAAGCCATGTCCGTTTTCTTAGTAAGTAAGTAAGTAAGGATAAGCATTGTTATAATAATCGAGCTCAAGTGAGCCTTGCGCATAGCTGGATGAACCAAAGAAAAATTTATACTTACTTTAGCGTTGGGGGTTTAGGCATGGTTATAATGGTCGAGCTCAAGTCGACCTTGCACTGAGATGGAACTACCAAAGAAAAGGTTGATTTACTTTATAGGTCGTGGTCTTGGAAAATGGATATGTCTCAGCGGGGACACGATTTTCACATCGTGCTACATCTTGGAGTAAGAGGAGGAAAAGAGAAAGATGAAGAAAAATGTTTGTCACTTTATAGACTTCAACAGCGCCACCTACGTGCGTTTGACAAAGCCAAGTGGAGTAATAAAAATTTCCAGTTCCTTTATTACTATCATCATTGGAAAATGCTTTTTTCTTTCTACTTTTTGTATTATTCATTATAACCACTTTTTAAATTTCATTTTTTCCTCAGGTATTTTAAAGTGCTGGATGTCACCATGACCTTATTTAATCATTAAATTAAGATTCATCAGTAAGTTCAATAAGGAAAACCGTGAAATGTTCACAGGTTAAAACTCTTTGATACTATTATTATTATTATTATTATTATTTCCTTTGATTTCTGGTGGGTACTCATTTTTTGCCGTGTCCCGCCCAGACTAAGGTCAGAAATGTCATCTGGACATTTTCCACTGTGCAATTAAAAATAATAATAATAAAAAAAAAGACACAAACATATTTTACATAGACATTGGCTGTATTCGTGAGAACAATTTTTTATTATTATTTATTTTTTGTATTTCTTTAAGGCGTGGGCTACCAGGAATCTCTTCAATGAGTCTACTGGAATCTTTTCCAACCAATCTGAGGGCTCCAACTACAACAGGGATCGCTGACGCTCTCATTTTTGAGATGTGGATTTCAAGGTCCTTTTATTTTGATAGTTTTTTGAAGATCTTCAAAGATACATTGCAATATGCAGAGACTGTTATATGGATAAGAAGGCAATTTATTATTATTATTTGTTTATATATTTATATATTCTAGAATTTTGTAAACAGAAAGTCCAGGGCATGACGATAAACTACATCCGATAGAAAGGTCTATGATCGGGAAATTGAGATTTTGCTATTGTTCCCTGGTTCACCCTGACCCGGGGTGGTAGCACCTGTTAGGATCCAAGCTATTGGCAAATAGTGCCCCCATCAGAATAAAACAAAACGCTATGAAAGTATAAAAATACATTTTTTTATATAAAAAATACCAACAATATATATTCATAAAGAAATTGGTGTAACCTAGGTAAGATTACTGAATAATAACTAAACGAAGGTTGGTAATGAACGATAATACTTAGGACAAGAACAACACATATAAGATTTGCCAGTGGCGCGTAGAAGAAGTAGTCAACTGTTAGAAGTTAGTCAAGTGAATTCCATAATGTCCAACTGCAGGATATATACCAACCGCCCCACGCGGTCAGATGTGGCACAAATCGTTGGAAACGCTAAACTTAACAATCCCTTTTTTTTTAGCTAAGAAGGTGAAAACGGAATCTAGAATTAAAAAAGAAACATATGAATAAAAAGAGCCCGTGATGTTTGTTGCAAATAAAACATTCAAAAAAGAAAAAGAAAAACTTCGTGAAAAGAAAGAGGGAACAAAAGTAAGAAAGAAAAAAAGAGCGCAAAAGAAAAGAAAGGAAAGTGGAACCAAGAAGAAAGAGAAAGGAAAAAAGAAAGAAAGAAAGAAGAGACAGAAAGAAAAGAAAGAAAGAAAAGAAAGGCAAGAGAAAAGAAAGAAAAGAAAGGCAAGAGAAAAGAAGGTAAAGAAAGGCAAGAGAAAAGAAAGAAAAAAGAAAAAAAAGAGAGAAGAAGAAAAAAAAAGAAAAAAAGGCAAGAAAGAAAAAAAAAAAAAGAAAAGAGAAAAGAAAGGAAAAAAAACGTAGGCAAACGAAAAAAAGAAAAGAAAAGCAAGAAAAATTAAAAAAAAAAAAAAAAAAAAGAGAAAAAAAGAAAGAAAAAAGAAAGAAAGAGAAAAAAGGCAAGAGAAAAGAAAGAAAAAAAAGTGTCTTCTTAAAGAAGGAAAGAGAAAAGAAAGAAAAAGAAGGCAAGACAAAAGAATGAAAAAAAGGCAAAAAAAAGAAAAAAATGAAGGCAAGAAAAAAAGGAAAGAAAAAGAAAAAAAAACGTAGGCAAAAAACGAAAAGATGAAAAAGAAAAAAGAAAAGAAAAAAAAAAAAAAAAAAAAAAGAAAAAAAAAAAAAAAAAAAAGAGAAAAAAAAGAAAGAAAAAAAAAAAAGAAAAAAAAAAAAAAAAAAAAAAGAAAAAAAATTTTTAAAAAAAAAAAAAAAATAAGGCAAAAAAAAAAGAAAAAATAAAAAAAGAAAAAGAAAAAAAAAAAAAAAAAAAAATAAAGAAAAAGAAAAAAAGAAAGAAAAAGCAAAGAAAAAAAAAAAAAAAAAGAAAAAAAGAAAAAAAAAGAAAAAAAAAGCAAATTAAAAAAAAAAAGAAAAAAAAAAAGAAAAGAAAAAAAAAAAAAAAAAAAGAAAAGAAAAAAAAAGAAAGAAAGCAAGAAAAAGAAAAAAGAAAAAAAAAAAGAAAGAAAAAAAAAAAAAAAAAAAAAAATAAAAAAAAAAAAAAGAAAGAAAGAGAAAAGAAAAAAAGAAAGAAAAAAAAGAAAAGAAAAGAAAGAAAAATGAAGCAAGATAAAAGAAAAAAAAAAAAAGCAAGAAAAAAAGAAAGAAAAAAAGGCAAGAAAAAAAAAAATAAAAAAGAAAAAAAAAGGCAAAAAGAAACGAAAGAAAGGTGAAGCAAGAAAAAAGAAAAAGAAAAAGAAGGCAAGAAAAAAGAAAAAGAAAAAGAAGGCAAGATAAAAGAAAAAAGAAAAAGAAGGCAAGAGAAAAGAAAGAAAGAAAGAAAACGTAGGCAAAAGAAAAAAAAAGAAATAAAAAAAAAAAAAAAAAAAGAAAAAAGAAAAAAAGAAAAAGAAAAAGAAGGTTGATAAAAGAAAAAAAAAAAAAAAAAGCAAAGAAAAAGAAAGAAAGAAAGAAAAAAAAAAGTAAAAAGACGAAAGAAACGAAAGAAATGAAAAAAAGAAAAAGAAAAAAAAAATTAAGGCAAAAAAAAAGAAAAGAGAAAAGAAGGCAAGAAAAAGAAAAAAAAAAAGAAGGCAAGAAAAAGAAAGAAAGAAAGAAAAAAAAAACGGCTGTTAAAAAGAAAAAAAAATAAGAAAAAAAAAAAAAAAAAAAAAGAGGCATTTTTTTTAAAGAAAAGAAGGCAAGATAAAAGAAAAAAGAAAAAGAAGGCAAGAGAAAAGAAAGAAAGAAAGAAAAAAGAAACGAAAAAATGCCTCTCATAAAAGAAAAAAAAAGAAAAAAAAAAAAAAAAAAAAAAGGCAAGAAAAAAAAAGAAAGAAAGAAAATTAAGAAAAAGAAACGAAAGAAAGGTAAAAATTTCCAAAAAATTTTAAGAAAAAAAAAAAAAAAGAAAAAGAATAAAAGAAAAAAAAAAAAAGAAAAAAAGAAAAAAATAAAAGAAAAAAAAAACTTAAGAAAAAAAAAAACAAAAAAAAGAAAAGCAAAAAAAAAAAGAAAAAAGAAAAAAAAGAAAAAGAAAAGAAAAAGATTTTAGAAAGAAAAAAGAAGGCAAGAGAAAAAAAAGAAAAATTTTACAAACGTGGGCAAAAGAAACGAAAAAAGGTAGAAAAAAAAAAAAAAAAAAAAGGCAAAAAAAAAAAAAAAAAAAAAGGCATAAAAATAAAAAAAAAAAAAAAAGAAAAAGAAAGAAAAAAAAAACGTAGGCAAAAAAAAACCAAAGAAAAACTTAAGCAAAAAAAAAAAAAAAAAAAAAAGAGGCAGGAAAAAAAAAAAAAAAAAAAGAAGAAAAGATAAAAATTTTAAAAAAAAAAGGCAAAGAGAAAAGAAAAAAAAAGAAAATAAAAAAAAAAAACGAAAGAAAAAAATTAAAAAGATAAAAGAAAAAAAAAAAAAAGAGAAAAAAAAAAAAAGAAAATAAATAGAAAAACAAAAAGAAAAAAAAAGAAGAAAAGAAAAAAGAAAAAAAAACAAGAGGGAAGAAAAGAATACAGAAAAAAAGAAATACAAATTAATATGAGTAAATTGTGTAACGAAAGAACACACACACATACATTTTCATTGATACACACATGAGTTTTACACATTTTTTTATTTTCATAGACAGACATTTGACTCTTTTAACGAACTGGGATAGTGTGATATGATAGATGAATAGAATGAAATCGATAAATATGAAAAGACGACAACATATATCAGACAGATTATGCATAAAAATCTAGATCTAGAGGGGGGTGGGATCTGGAGAGATAGAGAGAGACGGATTTTGGATCAACGTCATTATTTTAGCAGATAGGCTAGTTTGTCGGTGGTTGCAGAAACAAGAATGTACCTATCAACAGCATGTATTATCAAGAACCTGTCAAAGAACATTTATCTAGTAAACAGACAACTAATTAAATTTGATATCCTGCTATAGAAAAATCTCGGTTATCATTGGTATGGATGGTATCTAAAATAACGTGTCTACCTGAGCGACGTCTCTAGATCTTCAATTAGTTTTTTTTTCAATGGATAATCTTTCCAACACTTTAAAAAAAACCGACGTTAATTGTTGCCTTTTCAGACATAACAACAACGTCTTTCTTTTTGTCCCCGGCTTTTTTTTTTATTATTTTTATTTTCCTTTAAAATTGATTGCATTAAAAAGGAAAAACTTTTGCCCTCCAAATTGGTTTTTTCTTCTTTCATTATTATCCCAAATGAAAATATCTAAAACAAAGTAAGTCGTCTTGTCCTTTTTTATGTGTGTGTGTGTGTGTGTGTGTGTGTGTGTGTGTGTGTGTGTCTAGATAGTATTAAACATCTATCTATCTATCTATCTATCTATCTATCTATCTATCTATCTATCTATCTGTTTTAAATGTCTGTTTATTTACTAACACACACAGTCTCCCTTTATTCTCCCCTGTTTCTCTCACAAACATTTACAGATCTACGATCTTAACTATCTCAGTCTACATATATCCATATCTTTTCTATCTATCTATCTATCTATCTATCTATCTAATATCTATTAAAGTTACAAAAAATTTTCCTCTAGTCATTCCTTTTATTAATTGTATTTATTTATATCTGTATTTTGTACCTATGTATGTATGTATGTGTGTATGTATGCATGCATGTATGAATGTATCTATCACAGTTTCTTCATATCTATCTATCTATCTATCTATCTATCTATCTATCTATCTATCTATCTAAAAATCTTTTCTTTAAATTAATTTTTAAAAAATTCTTCATCTATCTATCTATCTATCTATCTATCTATCTCTTGATTATCTATCTATCTATCTATCTATCTATCTATCTATCTATCTATCTATCTATCTGTCTGTTTGTCTCTTCATTATCTATCTATCTATCTATCTATCTATCTATCTATCTGTCTGTCTGTCTGTCTGTCTCTTCATTATCTATCTATCTATCTATCTATCTATCTATCTATCTATCTATAAACTACTTTTTTCTTATTTAATGTATTTAACAATACATTTTCTTTTTCTATGGTAATTTTGAATTTAATCCATACTTATCCGTCACCCAGCCTCCAGAATTCTCCACCTACCCTACCCGCTCTTGCATTTGACTAATTGCTCCATCTTTTTTTTTTAAATCTTAATTACAATATTTTTAAGTTGATTAAATTAAACTCATTTCTTTTGGCATCGCTATTTATTTTTTGTAAGTCTATGATTTATTACTGATTATTGGTGCTATTGAATTAATATTTATTAATCATTGATAACCACCAACATTTCTATTCTTCCGCTTAGTATAAATTATCTTGTATTGATAAAAAAATAACACATATTAAAATCCTAGCAACGTCATAGTATGCTCGGTGTAAACTGTTAAAGCTATACGAGAAAATAACAAACCAACGTCTGAATTCGAAAATCTATATTTGCTTTACCTATATTTATAAATAAATAACAAAAAAGAAGAAAAGAAAAAAAGGAAAATATCTTTTCTGTGAGGGTTTATGTAACTTAAAAAGTACTAGAAATGTTTTTTTTTTTTTTTCTAGCTTTTCCTTTTTCTTTGTTTTTTTCTAACTTTTATAAACAACTTTGATGCGCAGCTAATATTATGGTCAAGTTTGTCGAAGTTAACTCCTCCTTAATTTCTTAATTGTCCAAATTGCACCTAGGGGACGCTATCCCTAAACTATAAATACCTGAGAATACTTTCTTTCTTTTTTTTTTTTTTAATACTTTGCATTTTCAAAAATCAAAAAAATATCAGATGATGTTAGACAGTTTTTGTCTTTATTTTCTTCATTGCTAAAGCCATTATACGAAGCTTAGAACGGCTCATGATCAAACATAATAGACATTCGTTGTCTGTTATATTTACAAGAATATATATATATATAAACGTATATAATAACATTCTTTTTTTTAACACGAACTCTTCTTACGTTCATAAATATACATCTAATTATGTCTATTGTAAACCCTTTTTTGTTGACTAATACACAGATTTTGTTTGTCCATGTATATCGGTCTCTTGTTTTTCTGTTACATTTTCTTTTGGTTGGACCTATCTCTATACCGGCATATTTTTACAGTGGGCCTTTAGTTTCAGGAGTTCCATACGTGTTCATATCACAACGTGTATTAAACCCACGGTCCGATACAAGTTAATGGTTTGAAATGAGGCACTAGCAAACCGAGTTCAAATTCAGATCGAGTTCGTTGCATTTGCTTTCATTATTCATAATGCAAAGAAATGTATAAATTTATTGTCTTCTCCCTTCTAGCTATTTTTATTTTAAATAACAGGGCAGACAGGGCTCTCTAGCCTTGGTTGACAACTATTCTAGGAGAAGGGCAATCCTGAACTGAATACCACTCAGCCACCGGAAGCTGTAAAATGATTGTTAGACATGGGGTGCTGGTAATATGTCTGCCAAGCAAAAACATGACAGATATCAACAACCATGATTATCCAGGATACTTTTCTGGCTTTTATAGGTCGGGTTAAATTTAAGGAAGGTCTGAAAACTACAACTTCTCAGAAAAATGATGAAACTATTTACCAACAAATCTTAAACTCTGATTTTTTTCTTCTAGTTTTTTTTTTTTTTATAAATATATGTAGATGTAATATGACGGTATATATCCAAATTTAAAAAAAAATTACTGAGCTGAATTCAAGTTCTAACCACATCTGTTGTATTTATTTCTTTTAGCAAACATGGACATTCGTGCCCGTAAAAAAAGGCCAAAAATGTCAAAAGGACGGTTTTTCATATGACATTTTAGCTACCTTTACTCTTCGGCAATGTTCATTGTTTTAAAAAAAAAACGGTGATTAGAATTGTAATAAAACCTAAACATATGATGAAAATGAATTTATATATTTTTTAAGAATCTGCAGAAGGATACTGAAGATTCTATGGACGGAGCATGTAAACAACGAACAAATAAATTATTTAAGATTGTAAGAAAAAGAGTGTCAAAAGGACATATTTTCCACCAACACCGGTATTATTTTAATAGTTTTTAACAAAGTAACTATAAACATTTTTTCTTTTTTATTCTCTACCAGCCGCAGAGGATAGAAAATTTAATTACTTTCCATCTTCGGCAAAATTTGTTGTTTTAAAAAGCGATGATTAGAATTGTAATAAAGCCTAAATATATAATGAAAGTGAATTTATACATTTTTTTTTGGTTCTTGAGAATTTACAACAAAAATATTAAACACTATTCATTAGATTGTTTATTTAAAAGAATAATTTTATATTTACAACATTCTAAAAACTAATACAATTAAAACTAATGCAATATTTAGTATTTGCTAATTTATAAAGAAATAAATATGAAAACAATGTTTTTATTCATAAATTTATAAACATTTATTAAATTATTAAAATATGTAAACCAACTATAAGGAAATCCTTATTATTGACTATTTTATAAATTTTGAATCAATTGGCAACTAACCCATGTTTTGTCAACCATTCCATTAAACAATATAATAAATCGTTTGCCTTGAATAATTCCTCCAGAAAATGAAACGCGTCGGCTAAGAACAGTTTTTCCTCTTGTCTTTTTATTCATTTTGTCCCTTTACAGAGATAAACTCTAACTGAAAATAATTTGCATCATAAATAGTTTTTATTATTTTTGTTGGCAATTCTCAAGAACAAAGAAAATGTATAAATTCAATTTCACATGGTTAGGTTTTATTAAAATTCTAACCATTGTTTTGAAACAATATTGCGGAAGAGTGAAGATATTGTTGGTCATTTTACTACAAATAGGTATTTTTCGTCATTTTACAATAAATAAATTGTGTAAATTTTTTACTATAAATAGGTATTGTTGGTTATATTTACTATAAATAGGTATTGTTGGTAATTTTTATAATAAATATTATTGTTGGTCATAAATTTATAAATATTGTATTGTAAGTCATTTTACTATAAATAGGTATTATAGGTCATGTTACTATAAATAGGTATTGTTGGTCATGTTACTATAAATAGGTATTGTAGGTCGTGTTACTATAAATAGGTATTGTAGTTGATGTTACTATAAATAGGTATTGTTGGTCATTTTACAATAAATATGTATTGTTGGTCATGTTAGTGTAAATAGGTATTGTAGGTCATTTTACTATAAATAGGTATTGTAGGTCATTTTACTATAAATAGGTATTGTAGGTCATGTTGCTATAAATAGGTATTGTAGGTCATTTTACTATAAATTGGTATCGTTGGTCATTTTATTTAATTTATATAGTTATTAATTTTATTATAAATTGGTATTGTTGGTAATTCTGCTATTTTTATATAAAATATGTTATTTATACTTTCATTGTGTTTTTTTTTTTTTGGGGGGTCAATATGTCCATAGCTGGGACCCTAACAGGTTAAACATATCCCGGGTCAATTTAGATCGGTAAACAACATAAAATAAAATTGTTGCTTTGTTTTTTCAAAAAACAATCAATCTAAAATTTTAAATTAGAATAATGTAAAAATTTTTGAAAAAAAAATGTCATTCAACTAAACTATTATTGAACTATAATAGCCTGATCTGTAGTGAACAAAAACATGATCTAGTTTTAAAATTCAAATGCTAAAAAATTGACTCATTGATTTTGTTAGAAATTAAAAGACTTTTACAAACTTTGCTTAACACACACGCAAAAGCGAATCCAAAACAAAAACTCGTGAAATTTCACACCTTGATGCGA